TATTTATATTGTTTATTGGAATGTTTGGCATCAGCTAATCGATTCGAACTTTATAAAATGGTAAACAATAAGGATTTTCTTATAATTGGTTAACATATCTTAATAATCTAGTAAATGTTTATAAATTTATGAACAAACAATTGTTTTCATAGTTGTTTCTTTATAAATTGTCAAATGATAAATATTGCATGGCATTAGTATTAATTATATTAGTTTTTAGAATTTTGTAAATATAAAATTATTCTCGTAAATAAACAATCTAATAAATAAATAGTGTTTAATATTTTTGTAAATTCTCAAGAACAAAAAATAATGTATAAATTCCTGTTCATCATATGTTTGTGTTTTAGTACAATTTTAATCATCGTTTTTAAAACAACATAGCCAATAGAAAACCGTCCTTTTCACTATCCGCATTTTGGCGGGCACAAAGTTCCTAGTTTGCTAAAAAATTATATAATTACTCACAAATAACTCAAAGTCACCTCTTCTATCACGCATCTAAAAAGACTGATTTTGGGAAGAGGGTCAGACCGGTAACTCTTCAGCATCGCCCTTGTACATATGACTAATACTCGAAGCAAGATTTTTTTATAACATTATACAGAGTTCCCAAACCAAACGTCAACATTCTTATCCAGTAATTCTAGTCTTGAGGCGATAGACATTGTGATTTCTAAAGATATCTCTTATATTTTAAGGGTTTCATAAAGTAAAAACGCGTCTTTTTAGTCTTATTGGTAACTTCTTTTTTTTGCTTTTATTTACTTCTTATCAAAAGCTGACAATACTAAAAATATCTTTCACGCCTTCCACCGGAAATCAATATGGCGTCTGTCCCAGGCTCTCCTCTCCAACAGTCATTAGACACTCGTTATTTGGTTCTATAAGATTGTCTCAAAAATAAAAGTAAACATGAATCGATATTTCTTCTCCTACTGGCTATTGCAATCAATACAAAACTATTATTATTATTATTATTATATGAACTGATTGAGTTTCCATTGCAATAATATATGGGTGTTCACGTTAGAAATCAAGTGGCAGCAAGCCTTTTCAATATTCCTTGCCACATAGGCGAACTACATAAAACAAATTGTAGTGACGAAAGTACATCCCTAACTAACCGTTTCTTAAATATATCTCAACAGGTGATGAAAAACGGGTTCCATACGACAATGTTCAACGCAAAAGGAAGTGCATTGACAAGCATAAATCATCACAACGTGGACATTAGACTCCTGTCTACCTTTCTTTTAATCATTTCACTCCATGAAAGGCGATAATGCCCCTGAGATGCAATTGGTTACTGGGAGTGAAAGAGAAAACTTTAGTGAAGAAGAAAGTACAATAAAAGAATAGGTTTCAGGAAGGCAGAAGATGGCAATCGACGTTGCATTTAAATTTTTAAACAATTTAGGTGGCAGTGAAGGAAGAAACGAAAAGAAAGTTCTAGAAACGATTAGAATAGAACTTACCTTTGTGTCTATCTTTTCAAACAAAAAAAAAGCGATCATACCCATTAGGCAATCTAGCAGTACGCTTAAATTCACACGATCGGGGTACCAAGGAGTCACCCAAACAACTCCTATGAACATACTTAGAAAAAAAAAAAAAAAATAAAACAGAGGGAATCCACGTGAGTGTGGTGTGAAAGTGTCTGAAGTCTAGATGTCAGCTCAGGATCGATAACATTACAAAACTTTTTTTGGTATTGTCGAGAATCTCGAGATATACATGATCTGATCAAAAAGTATCGGAAATATTGCTATGGTAAAAGAGCTAAAGTTCGCAGAGTGAAGTCGCTCTACACAGATTAACCTAGACCTCTGACGCGCATGTATACTGTTGTGGTAGGATCCACCTAATTTGCATAGTGGAGTACCGACCATATAAATATGGATGGTACCGGGAAGAGAGGGAGGAATCAAGACATTCAACCAGAGACTCTGACAGACTGCGACTCAGTCAACACATTCTCGAAGAACGGTCTTACTAGGAATATACAAAAGACTATATGTAAATATTGTGTAGACTTTCTTGTTTCAATACATTTTGTTCTAAGTACATTTTGTGTTGCATTATTATTCCATGCATTAATCAAGTTTCAACATATACTAAGTTGTAACATTGTCACTCAGTTACGTTGCTTATAGCAGTGCTTGGATGGGAAGTGTGTTGACTGTGGTCGTCTCACTAAGCCACATAGGCTCCATCAGTGACCATGGCTTGTTTTTGGCTAGGGGACAACATTCCCTGGGTCCGACAGCCACCATATACCCTCGATGTCGCCCATTGCGCTTCATAAATCAAGACCTTCTTGAAAGGATCAAGATTTCAAGACATCGAACAAATCCAAGAGAATTTGACGAGGCAGTTGTTCACTATCCCCACCGCCCAAAAAATGTGTTCCAGAAGTGCTTCCATCAATGGAAACGCCGCTGGATAATGTCTGTGGATTCTGAAGAAGACTTCTTCGAAGATGATTAAATACAAAATTGATATGTGTTGTAGTTTGATTTTTTTAGCACTAGTTCCGACATTTTTTGTTATACCTCGTATATAGGCTGGGCACCAGACTAGATATAGTAGCAATATTGAATGCACGGGCGAATGGTAGATTAACTCACAGAGTTAAGTATAACTTAAACCAATGCTTACTCACAGACTCAAGTATAAATCCAAATAATATTTACCTATTGTTTCAAGTATGTACCTAACCAATATTTACCTAAAGACAACAACACGAGAACTGTTCACACATAGAACCAATTATAAAACAAAATAGTGTTATCCTATAGACTTGAGTATGAACACAATATTTACCTATATACACAAGTATAATCACAACCAAAGCTTACCTCTAGACAGAAATATATATGCAATCAATATTTATCTACAGAATGACGTATATACAAAGTCACTGTTTACCTATAGACACGTATACATAATTCTAATACTTACCTAAAAAGTATATACCAAACAATATCTGCGATTTCTAATAGGAACGCTATTAATGTTTATAGACTTAAGTCGCTTTTACATACATGACGGAATTATTCACCATTCCCTAACATATAGGACATTAGATTTATAGTCGTTCATTATTCTTTCTTTTGTTTATATCATTTTCATATCTCTTAATACTTTGGTACCTTTACGGAAAGTGTCTGCTTACAAGGTTTCGGATTGTGTACCAACCAAATCTTATATTCCCTTCTGGATTGGCGGATTCGCTTAAATGTCAATATTAGAAAAATATGACACTTGATCTCTACAAATGGGACAGTTCCTTGATTTAATTTCTACCATTATTTACAGGGTATCCCAATCGTTTGCGTAATTTCCAATATATCATTGCTCCTGCTCAGACCTGTCTGGTTTAACATCTGTCTATATTTCTGAGATTAGGTATTGTAACTATTTACACGGTTCGAAATTTATTAAGACAACTCCTTTTATTTATTTTCTCACAGGAAAGTGTAATTATTGAAGTTCAGCCACGTATTTATTTGCACACTTTATTGCCTATTGCCCAGTTGTGGGTCAGTTAGCAGGACAGCTAATAGTCTAGGAGAAAGAGGGCCTGAATTCAAACCAACTTGTAAATCCTGCCACTTTAGGAAGATTTAAGAGGAGGTAACTTCAAAAACAAATCCACTTTTGAGAGGAAGGACGAGGTAACATCCCCGGTGCAAAATGAAACGGCAAGCCATTGCATTATTCTGCCTTGAATGCCACCATGAAGTACAATTGTGAGATGGAGGCGAGTGGTGACCACAGCGTTGGCGCAAAAGGTACTAACAGAATAAAAGGGATAAATAAAATTACATACAGTGTAACCTAGATATAAGAGACCCGGATATAAGAGAAACCCGAATATAAGAGAGATTTTCTCTGGTCCCAAATTAGAGCCTTTGTTAATGTATATAAATTAGACCAAACCCGGATATAAGAGAAACCCGGATATAAGAGACTTCTTCTCCGGTCCCGGCAACTCTCTTATATCCGGGTTACACTGTATATAGAGAAAAAAGTCCGCCCACCTATTATTAAAACCCAAACCCTTATATTAGTCACCAAAGTGTATTGTGATGTTACGTCATTGAATAACAGACTTCCTTAAGAGATAGCAATATATTCATCGTTTTTTATTGTTATACGCATTATAGTAATTTTGTTTGAAATTCTTTCTATCAGCGCCGTCTTAAAGCTGAGCCGGGTTTTCGATACGGAAGCTTGTGAAATCTCAGCAGTCTTCAGTAATCTTCAATGCTTTTTATTTAAATTCTTTGATATCTTTGACGAACTTGCAGTTTTCGGTTATTTATTTTTCCTATTCTTTTTCTTTTCATAAACACTTCGATTAAGAATTAATTTTTATGTCATCCCGAGCTTATCTCTTGCGCATTTCTTTTCCATTCTTCTTTATTGTAGAATATTCGCCATTTCCATGAAGGTTTCTATTCATTACTTAATTAGCTTGTCTGACGTATTGCTAAGATTTCAAGTGAAGTTTAATTCTGGTTTACAACGTCTTTGTCATAATCTTAAATATTACTTTTAACCTCCGTGCTGCCGTTGTAGCTTACAAACATAAAATAAAATCGTTTATCTACTTACAACGTTTTCAGTTCAGTTTAATTTGTGGTTTCAACAAACATATTCCTGTTATCCCCAATTTTATAAGAGAACAGAAATATATTAATCGAGGTAGCGTATATTAGAATAAATCAAATAATTTGATTTGACTGTAGTATTTTTTACGGTTTATCAACCTTTTTAAGCTTATTTAAAGCCGAAACGTATTGTAAGAATCTTTTGAGATAATAACGATTTTCCGGTACAAGCCCTACTATTTAATTCATAGCTGGGAGAAGAGATATAGTCATAGCTTTCACAAGGATATTTGATATATAACGAACCGAACTGGATTTCGAAATCAACTCCCTGAATTCTCATTCCGAATCGTTATCCATTCTATTACCTGCACATCTTAGCTTACAGCAACTGATATCCCAGAGCGGTCACCCATCTAAGTATTAACCATGCTTTACGGTGCTTAACTCCGGTGATCGGGCGAGAACCGGTGTTTGAACGTGACCAGGCTATAAACCGGACTAATAATAAAAAAACTAATATATTAAGATGTGTCATAAATAATTTCCGTTTTTCTTTGTCAACTTTATCATTTTTAATCATTTCTCTCCAAGCAAGGAGATAATGTCACTCGGACGCAGGGACTTTACAGGAAGTGAAAGAGAATGAGAAGACTTTATTGAGGAGAAAGGTCAATAAAAGAATAGGGTTCAAGATGGCGAATAACGTTGCATTTAGGTTTTTAAAGATTGTAGTTGGCAGGGAAGTAAGAAAATAAACTATTAGAATAGAACATACGGTTGCATCTAGCTAATTCAACAGTAAAACTGTGACGAATCTAGTGGCACGCTTAAACTCATTTAGGCAAAACACTCGGGTAAAAGTGCTCACCAGAACTGTTGTCATGAAAGTATCTGGAGAAAAGACAAAAGGAAGCGGTGAGTAGATGACTGAAGTCAAGATGCTAGGTCAGGATCTAAATAAAATACAATTAAATTTTATTTAATTATATATTCCCCAATATTTGCAATGGTTTCTTACTACTTATCAGAGAGCTCTTCGGTACCATTTTTGAGTACGATTGCGAGGATTTTGATGTTTAATATTTTAGACGAAATCTTTAATCTGGTTTTCATTCGAGAATTGTTTCACCATCGAAGCGTTTAGATCGAAAAATCAGTTACTGTAATGTCAGGTGAATATGAGGACACAGGTAGAACAGGTTTGTTTTGGTTTGTTTTGGTTTATTTTGTTTTACGGCATATCATCCTCATGACCGGTAATAAGGAGTGCCAGAGAAAAGCAATAATAACAATGAAAATTGCAATATGAGCTCTGGTAAAAACAATGCAATGATAACAGCAAAAATTGCAATATGGCCACTGGTGAAAAATAGCTGTTTATAATACCCAGAAATTGAAATTCAGATGTACTCAAGGACACATGGCACAGTGGCTAAGGCGTTAGTTAGATCCAGTGACAGGATTCAAACAGCGTGAGTTCAATACATGGAAAAGGCGGTGGAGAACTTGGAGATGGGAATTAACAGGAGATAACTGATAACTGACATCTATTATACATAGCACGTAGAACTAGAACAGACTACCACAGCGAGCGAAGTAAAAAATTCGCTTCGACATTCCAACTACTTGAAGAAGGCCGAAACGTTGTGATAAATATGGCAAAAAAAAAAAAAAAAATGAGGACAATAGTCCGAATAATGTAAATAGTGAAGTAAATTTCTACAAATTTGATGTTTGTAATTAATTAAGGCCATTTGAATGATATAATCATAAACCAATGGATGAAGTAGCTAATGTTACTAAGAATATATATTCTAATACCCTTTTCATATGCTCTCAAAATTCTCCTGTAATTTCAGCATCCGGAGCATCTCCCGTATGGGCTCATTGAGCTCTCCAGAATCTTTTGATAGCCTGTATTTTGCCAGTTGGATCCTCGAATTTAGCTGGGTGCGAAGGGGTCTTCATATATGTTCAAGCTTTAGAGACACAAAAATGTAAGCCTGCCACTAAACAGAAAACAAACTGAACACCTGAAAACAATTAAAATGGGTAGCGCAGGTAAGTTGAAGAGAATATAATGGCGAAATAATGATATTGATTTTCCACATAACATTAAACAAAAGGTTAGGAAGGAAACCCTAATCAATAATATATAGCGATATCAGTTAGTGGACTCGAAAAACTGATTTTCCTGAAAAGAAAATTTACGAGAAAGATTATATAAATTTCAACCGACGTTAACGCTAACTGTTCGCTCAATGAATATCGAATGTTTCCTTATAATGAAACGGATATTCTCACCATTACCGCTACCATGTTATCTGCTTGGTTTGTTTCATTAGTTTTCCTTTCTTCTGTGTTTTCAGTTGCTACTTTGTCCAACTGAGCCTTTTGTTCGCTGTTATTTCGCTACTCTTTATAGAACACATGATCAAGGTTCATTAAAGTCGGGTGCTGCTTTTACTTCCAGATTGGTTGAATCTTGACTCCTTACTTTGAATACTGCTGCCACATCTGGTCTGACACAGCCATTCTATATTTAGAGATTCTTGATAAAATCCAATGAAGATACGGCAATGTTATTGATTCAGACCTGCCATGTCGAATTCAGTTACTTTCCAACTTTCGGTGTCCTTTTCTTTCATTGTAATTGTTCTGATGAACTTTCCTCTTGGACTTCAAGAATTTAATCGCAAAACTAGATTGGCGGTAGTCAGTTCTATGCCATGCGTGATACACGCTTAGGTGATCTTTTGATACATAACTGACGAGGCAGACTTTTCCCGCATTAGGTTGCCATTTCTTTCTGCGGTAGATCAGTTGGCATCCAAGGCTATAGAACTCGGTCTGTCCTGCTACTTACTCATAGCTGGGTAAAGAAGAAGAAGACTCATACCTTTCGTAAGTAAATGTAAAAAGAATCGACTAGAATTCGAACTCGGCTCTCCGATTTCTCAATCCAAGCCGCTATCCATTATTCCACCGTGCTTTCTCAGACTGACAGTAAGAGAAATAAATAGATGAAACTGCAAATTTTATGCTAACAGTTTCTTCTATCTCACTTCTCGATGCTGGAAATCTCTTCCGAGTTCTTTCTAGTCAAGATTGATCTTCAAAAATCTATATGTAATATCAATCCTTATCTTCTGTCTTCTGAATTGCTGTTCTTTTATTGTTCTCTCTCCTTGATAGTGTTTTTTTTTCATCATATTCTTTAACAATCTTTCGTCTTAGTGACTCTGTTGTCTTTCTTGGAGGAAATGATTAAAAAAGAATTACACAAATTCTAGATAAATAAGAAAATGTCGGCGTAGAACGGAGTTTTGAAGTCTGTAAATTCTTCAAGTCGATTTCGCCTGTCGACTCATTGCCATTCCTATGTATTACATCGATTCTCTATTAGATAGTTATACAAGATGACATTAACACAAGATGACATTAACACAAGATGACATTAACATTACTTCTTATCCATGTAGATGAGAATTTATTACCAAATTATATAAACTTATTTACGATTAATTTTATATCTACCAATCTCTTTGCGAGAAGGAAAGTCATTATGGTCTTTGAATATGAATTTTTTATCATTTCAACCCATCCAATGCGATAAAACCACTAAGACACAAGTGGTTATTGAGAATGCAAGAAACTGAAAGAACGTAATTCGTATAAAGGACAATAAAAGAACGAGATTTAAAAAAAAGACAGAAAATGGCGATTGATGTTGTATTTAAATTTTTGAAAATTGTATTTGACAGGAAAGCCAGAAAAAGAGTTCAACAGGTAAGAAGTTCGGGAGAAGAAATTATTAGAATAGACCTTACAGTTGCAGCTAGTAATTTCAACAATAAAATGTCGATACCTAGATGCCACTTTTAAATACACGAAGTCCAGGTACCGAACAAGAAAGGTCAGCAAAACAATCGTCATTAAAAATACTTATAGAAAAAGCGTGACGAAAATGATTGAAGCTGAAATGCCAAAATCAGAAGCGATAACATTGCAGATTCTATTTTTGATCTTGCCAAGAATCTGTGGATAGTTACAAGACAATATTTGGCAAAAGTATTCAATGCACGGAGAAATATATATCTATTTTATATTAGTAAATCGCAACGGAAAGCCTTTTTCCCAACATCGTGAAATATGCGTTGACGCCATTCCCGTAGATGTTCAACCTGCGCATAAATTTGAAAAGTTTCATTTTTTCCACACCAATGAGCGAAACAAACTCGTGCAAAAAAAAGAAGAAAAAAAAAGGAAGGTGATTTGATTTTAGTCTATGTTCTTGAGTATAATTATGTCATTAATCATGGAACTACAGTGCACAACTGGTTATTATCAAATATTTAGAGAGACCAGAACGTGGTTTTCATGAATACTTTTCTTAGTAAAACTCAGAAAACTAATGCTGTGTCTGTCTTCGTCGATGTTCGAACAAGCCCGTAGCGAAATGACATTTAGGATTCTTTATTGTCCTAGCAATATCCGTCGTCTGTGGATGGCCTTTTTTATTCGTTTAGTGTAGATAGAGATATAATATGCATTTTGTAGGCGTAAGCCTTTTTATCTATCTGACAGAGAGAAGAAGAAAAGGGGAAGTGATTATATAGAGTTTAGCTGCAATACTGGCTTAATTCTAGTCTTGATTCTCCAACTTGACCTTTGCGGATTATATTTTTCTCAGCCTTTAAATTTACCAGATCTTATATTGCTTTTGTTGCGTTTATAAAATATATATGGGCGGTCTCGGTAGTATCTGCCCTCAATACATATATTTTCTAGTCATTTATAATAAAAAAAATAGCATAAAGACGTTTGCGAAGAAGTCAGAAGAACATTAAAGAGCGTTTTATTACCTCGAATAAGTTAGGAAAGTTTATAAACGTGTTATATGCCTTCACTCCTGCCCCGAAAAGAAAAGCTAGTGAATATTAGAAATGTCCGTCTTTATTCACTGTTTTTGTGCTTCAACCACATGTCAAGATACTATCTCCTCTTCGTGTCCTCTGCCTCGATCTGTCTCCTGTACAAGGCCTGTGATTCATTGATTGGTCGTTAAATCCACTTGACCAGCAAAGTCCGATGTATAATAATTCGGGAAGAAAGCAATTAATCAAAAGTTTTAATTACTTTAATTAAATTTTCATCTCTTAATAATAATAATAATAATAATAATACTAATAATAATACAAATACCTTTGAGAGTGAAACAATTGATGCCATATATGGATAAGAAAAACAGAAAACAAAATTACCCGAAGAAACGACTTAGGGTAGTATTAATATTGAACCAATCAGAACACTTCCAAGTCTGGCAACAGGCTATATTTCCTTGAATCGACGAAACAGGAAGTTGTTTTTTTTTTTACTAAGCTTTAACTATTTTTAGCGCAAGCCTAAGCGTATGGGCCACCAGGGAGGATCGAACTCACTAATCAGTTACAACAAGTTTAGTAAAGGAGATAAAA